CTGTCAAATGCAGCAACAATCCCAGCAAGGCCTAGAACATGGCAGCAAGGAGGTAGGTAAAGCATTGGCCGGAGGGGAAGACTCCATTTGCACATGCTGAGTTAATTAGCTATGGTGGCCCACAAGGCAGGGCCAGCACAGCTAACCTCAGCAGAGGGCACTTCACAGTGTGGCCCTCAGGCCTCTTACCATCCAGGTTCAAATCCCACCACCTACAAGTTGTGCAGTCTGGAGCTTCAAGGCCCTGCACCTCAGTTTCCCCACCTGTGGAATGGGATATAATAGCTCCTGTCTCTTAGAGACACTGGGGGGATTAAAACAGGTAGGACACATCAGGCCTTTAGTACAAGGCCTGGCACACAGTTAACACTTAGAGAGTGCTACTAACATGATTTTATCCTTTCTCAGAGCAGCTTCCCTGGGGGGATTCCAACAACAACTTTGATCTGAGAACCACATTCATAGATCGATTTTCTGCAATTCATTGATGCCTTCCCCTATACCCACTCCAATTGGGAGCACTGAGCCTGGGTCACTGCCCATTGTGTGCTGTGGGAGCCAGGCAGTAACCATGGCAACAGACAAACTGTTACCATTTATTGATTGGATTCATATTTTTTAAATCTAAAGAATTTACATGCAATAAAGTCTCACTGAACCCTCACCACAGCCCTGTGAAGCAAGCCCACCGTCAATTGAGATCTTACAGATGAGGCCACTGAGGTTCAGAGAGGCAAAGCAATAGACCCCGGGTCACACAGCTCACACGGAGCAAAGCTGGCAGAGGCACTTGATCTCCTGCTTGCTTACCCCTTGCAGCCCACAGTCCACCATTCTTCCAGCTCCTCATGCTCCTCTTAGGCCCTGGGGGAGGTGGGAACAAGGGTTCCTGAATGAATGGTGGTCTCCACCTATCTCCCAACCACCTTTCCCTTCTGCACGTCCCACTCCAAGGTAAGAGCTGGGGAAGGGTTGGATGGGTGTAGACTGTCACTGTCACCTGCAGGGACTGGAACTCTGTCGCGTGGTGGCCGTGCACGTGGAGAACCTGCTCAGTGCCCGTGAGAAGCGGCTCACACTGCCCCCCAGCGAGATCACCCTGCTCTGACCCAGTCCCCAGCCCTCCAGTACCTTCTGCCAGAAGACTCACTGTGTGGCCTCAGGGTAGTCAGTGGATCTCTCAGGATCAATGACCCCTATAAGGGGCCAGAACCTTGGAGGACACCAAAAGGAGGCAGGAGGAGCAACTCAAATCCTCAAGAACCCAAGAAGACCCTTCCTGAGCTGGGATGGAATGGCAGCATGCAGACTCAGGTCAGATAGCAGGAGGAACTTTCAATGTCTGGCCCACGGTGGAGTGGAGCAGAAGACAGGACCCTGAGGCCTCCTGCCTTGTACCTATTGCAGAGCCTGCCCCTAACTCCTGCTATGGCACAGAAGCCCCACACCAGTTGCCTAGATAAACTGGACTCTGCCTTCAGTTTACTCAGGGTCTGACACTGGAATCTGCTCCAACTCCACATCCCAGCCCTACTTGTCCTCCTAAGGGGCCCCTCCTTGTACTGCCAGTTAGCCTGGATTTCAGTTAGCCTGGTTATTTCTGTACAAACAAAAGGTGTGCCTGGCAGCCATTTCTCCGTGGAGTTTCTAAGTGGCTGGAAAACAAGCCTGAGGGAGGAGGCAGGAGTTGGAGGTAACTTAGGCCCCTGACTCACTGCCTACGAACAGATCCTCCCTCACTCCTTGGGTATCCCCAACACCAGAGCCCCGTCACTTGATGGACCACACAAGTTTGAGAGTGGTATAAGGGAGAAGTCTGGGAAAAGGCTTCTTGGAAAATGGGACATTAGCGTTGAGTTTTGAAAGATGAGTAGGAGTTTGCTAAGAATAGATGGAAGAGAGCGGGATAAAAATTCCAGAGAAAATCGTGTTTGTTTCCTGCTGTATCCCCCAGAAACCAGAGAACACCTAACACAGAGTAGGCACTTTAAAAATATTTGTCATATGAATGAAAGAATAAACGAATGAATGTTGTTGGAAAGTGCTGGTTCTCTGGGGAGTTTCTGTGGGGCAGGGAGCACTTGGCTTGGGAATGGGAGACTAGATAGGTAGATGGGGGCATAACTGCAAGATCCATGGCAGCAGAGAAAAGAGTTACCTACTCATTCAGCCATTCGAGCTATCCAAATACCTAGGCAAATACCAGGCACTAGCAGTTAATCACAGTCAAATCACCACAAACTAGGACGAGACCTGTGAGTGGGAGTTAGCCAGGGAATGAGGAGAACAACATATGCAGGGACCCTGAGGTACGCATTACTTGTGGCAGGATCTGAGACTGAAGAGGACTCCAAAGATGGTTTGAGTAGGGATTCTGGGCTACATTAAGAATTTAGGATTTCAACTTAAAAAAAAAAAAAAAAGAATTTAGGATTTCTAGGCTGGGTGTGATGGCTCACACCTCTAATCCTAGCACTTTGGGAAGCCTAGGCGGGAGGATTACCTGAGCTCAGGAGTTTGAGACTAGCCTGGGCAACACGGTGAAACCCCATCTACTAAAATACAAATAATTAGCTGGGTGTGGCAGCATGCACCTATAGTCCCAGCTACTCAGGAGGCTGAGGCAAGAAAATTGCTTGAACCCGGGAGGCAGAGGCTACAGTGAGCCAAGATCATGCCACTGCAATCCAGCCTGGGTAACAAAACAAGACTCCGTCTCCAAAAAATAATAATAATAATTTAGGATTTCTGGGCCGGGTGTGGTGACTCATGCTGGGACACTTTGGGAGGCTGAGGCAGGTGGATCACTTGAGCTCAGGACTTTGAGACCAGCGTGGCCAATGTGGTGAAACCGTTTCTGCTAAAAATACAAAAATTAGGCCGGGCGTGGTGGCTCACGCCTGTAATCCAAGCACTTTGGAGGCCAAGGCGGGCAGATCACTTGAGGTCAGGAGTTCAAGACCAGCCTGACCAACATGGTGAAGCCCCGTCTTAAAAAAAAAAACACACACACACACACACAAATTACCCAGGGATGCTGGCAAGCACCTGTTATCCCAGATACTAGGGAGGTTGAGGCACAAGAGTCATTTGCACCTAGGAGGTGGAGGTTGTAATGAGCCAAGATCGCACCGCTGTACTCCAGCTTGGGCAACAGAGCGAGACTCAATCTCAAAAAAAAAAAAAAAATTTAGGATTTCATCCCAAGAGCCATGAGGAGCCTTCAAAGGTTTGCCAGAGGGGGAAGGGGTGGCACAGCCTGCACAGGTTGTACTTTGTGAAAGCCACGCTGACCACCAAGCAGTGAGTGAATGTAGGAGCTGGGGAGACCAGAGGGGCTGCTGCAGTGTTAACTGGTAAACTGTGGCATGGATTCTAGTGATAGTGACAGGGGTGGGTAGAAGTTGGTAATTTGGGAGAGATTAGAAGGTCCAGCTGGCAGGACCAGGGGGGCAATTAGACCATCCTAGGATGGAGAGGATCAAGAAAGAGTCCCTGATACAAATGCCACAGGGCTGTCCCATTTTTCACCATTGCTTTGGGTTGACTTTCCCCAGAAGCAAACCCTGAGGTGAGAAAAGTAAGGAACTCACCAGAAAGAGTGTGGTGTCAATCAAGTTACCACTGTGCAGGGGCCATAGCTGGCAGCAGCTCACCTACATTGCCCCTGGGGTTCTGCCAGCAGCGCTGGTGCTCTCTTAGTGTGGGGACCCCCCAAAACAGAGCACAGTGGCTACAACATGAGGCAGCCCTGAGGCCTGCCCTCTTCCCCTCATTTCTTAGTGTTGTGAGATCATACATGGTGTTGGGGGGGGGAAGGGGTGTCAGGCTCACTAATTACTTTTGCCCTAAACCCTTTCCCTAGTCAAGCTAAACTATGGGGCTCAGGAAGGGATAATGTGGCAAAGAGTGAAAACCAGGGGGCCCTCTTGGCTTTCAGAATACAACTGGGGCCTACCACATAGACCACATGCAGCCTCTTGGAAGTGGATCCTCCAGGTTGAGCCAAAATATGAATCACCTCTTCACATCCTCTAGGTTGAGACAGCCTCTCATATCGCAGACACTGCATTGGAAGCTTCCCTGTGTTCCTCCCTGACTGCTCTTGAGCTAGGACCCTCCCCTCTCTGAGCCCCGGTGAAGGACAGCACAGATTCTGGAACCAGGCTGCCTGGGTTTGAATTGTCACTAGGCCACATACTGGCTGTATGGCCTTGGGCAGGTCATTTCACTTATCTGGGCCTGTTTCCCTATATATAGGGTGGTGATGATAATGCCCCCCACATTGAGGTGTTTGGAGGATTAATTGGGTTAGTATACATATATAGGCCCCGGCACATAGTAAAAACTTGATAAGCTTTTTAAAAAACGTCCATTCCAGGCTGGGCACGGTTGCTCACGCCTGTAATCGCAGCACTTTGGGAGGCCTCGGCGGGAGGATCCTTGTGCCCAGGATTTCTGAGACCAATTTGGGCAACATGGTGAAACCCCATCTCTACTAAAAACAGAAAAATTAGCGGGGCGTGGTGGTGCATGCCTGTAGTCCCAGCTACCCAGGGGGCTGAGGTGTGGATCGCTTGAACCCAGGACGTCGAGGTTGCAGTCAGCGAGGGTTGCACCACTTCATTCCAGCCTGGGCAACAGAGACTTTGCCCAAAAAATAAAAATAAAAACAAAGAGACGGGTGATAAGGAACTGGCATTCCAGGTGGCGGAAACAGACTGGGCAAATATCAGGAGGTGACACACAGTATGTTTGTAGACCTGGCTTACAGGATGACAGGGCTGGGGCTCAGCGTACGTGGAAAGAGGGGAGAGGAGGAGGGAAGGCCCTAAGAGTCTTGAAGAAAGGCTTTGAGCGCCAAATAATGCAGCTGGACTTTATCCTGGGGAGACATGGGAGATTTTTGAGCAGAACCCCCCATTTGTTGAAGCCCTCCAGTGCATCCTGCACAGCCACGCCTTTCTGTTTTGTTACCACGCCCAGCTCATTTTTAAAATTTAATTGTAGAGATGGGGTCGCCATGTTGGCCAGGTTGGTCTCGAACTCCTAGGCTCAAGTGATCCGTGCCCCTCGGCCTTGCAAAGTGCTGGGATTACAGGCGTGAGACCCCGCGCCCGGCCACGCCTTTGCTGACTGCTTCAAAACTTTTTCGAATTGACTTCAGTCATTATAGCTTAGCTTTATCCTTGCTCCCGTTCAATTCCTGGAGTTTTCTTCCGCCGTTGCCGGAGGAGGTGCCTCCACGCTCATCTCCAGCACCCAGGAGGCTTGACGCCACCCCAGCGCGCCCCCGCGCCAGCCGTCACCGGGACGTGACTCGCGGAACGTCTGCTCCGGGCGGCGGCGGCCGCGACAGCAGGCTGGCTTGTACCCCTACAACGCGTGTCCGGCTTCTGCCTGACATTCCTATCTGGGTTCCGAGCTGGGGCCGGGTGCTCTCGGTCCCGCAATCTGAGAAGTTTTCGCGAGTTTTAGAAGTTTCCTTAGGTATCCTGAGGGCTTTCCTCAGCGGAGTCTCCATTCAGGCACTTATTCAGCCACCCATTTCCCCTTTAGGGGTCCTCGCTGCTCTCCCAGCAGCTAATTAAGTGACGGACGCAGTAGCCTAGGAGACTGCCTGATTGACGGGCATAATTACCAACCGACTTCCGGAAACTCCAGTCAGGGCCTGCCCCGCGCGTGACCGACGGCCCAATTAAAGAAGTGGAAGTGCCAAAGGGGGAGGTAACGGGGCGGCCTGGGTTGTGGCGGTTCCCTGGTGATTGCACGCTGGGGTTGAGGCGTCTGCCGACATTCGGACGATGCCGTGACGCGGCATGGCGACACTGTTGGCTGTGTGAGCGCACCCTGTAGAGGGAGCCCTTCGGTCCTGGAGGCGGCGCGGCGTGGAGACAGGTTGCTGTTTGAGAGCGCTCCCTCGAAGCCCCTCAGCGAGTGGGGGAGGGGCGGCGGACGGCGAGCGGTCCCGGTCTGCGCTTGCGCCGGCGCCTCTGCCGACCCGGCCTGCACGCACGCGCATGCCTGTAGCGCGCGGAGCCGCGGTGGCCGGCAGCACTACGCTTGCGCGGTGAGGAACCCGCTAAGGAGCGGCGCTGGCGGACGTCGGGCTGGCGGCCCGTGACGTCGTGAAGAGAGCTTTAAAGTGCGGGCCGGGCCGAGCGTCCGAGGGTCTGGTCTGGAGTCGGGCCGCGTCTCCACAGCAGCCCTCCGCGGCATGAGGCGCTGCCGGCGCCCCTGCCCCCCGGGACGTGGAGAAGGTGGAGGAGGAAAAAGCCCCGTTGTCGTTGCATGACCCGCCGCCCCTGAGGCCCGACCCCACGCCTGGACCCTCGACGCCCCCCCGCCGGGTCTCCAGCTCACGTATGGGAGTTCGGCGCTAAGGACCCCCTTTCCCTCCGGGGTCCCCGGGGCGCGTCCCCCTAGAGCCATGCCTGGCTGCCCCGCCCGCCCCGGAGGACCCTAGAGCAGCGTCGTGGGGGCCATGGCGGCCGCCAGCGGCTACACGGACCTGCGTGAGAAGCTCAAGTCCATGACGTCCCGGGACAACTACAAGGCCGGCAGCCGGGAGGCCGCCGCTGCAGCTGCCGCCGCCGTAGCCGCCGCGGCCGCGGCCGCCGCCGCCGCCGAACATTACCCGGTGTCCGGGGCCAAGCGCAAGTATCAGGAGGACTCGGACCCCGAGCGCAGCGACTACGAGGAGCAGCAGCTGCAGAAGGAGGAGGAGGCGCGCAAGGTGAAGAGCGGCATCCGCCAGATGCGCCTCTTCAGCCAGGACGAGTGCGCCAAGATCGAGGCCCGCATCGACGAGGTGGTGTCCCGCGCTGAGAAGGGCCTGTACAACGAGCACACGGTGGACCGGGCCCCACTGCGCAACAAGTACTTCTTTGGCGAAGGCTACACTTACGGCGCCCAGCTGCAGAAGCGCGGGCCCGGCCAGGAGCGCCTCTACCCGCCGGGCGACGTGGACGAGATCCCCGAGTGGGTGCACCAGCTGGTGATCCAAAAGCTGGTGGAGCACCGCGTCATCCCCGAGGGCTTCGTCAACAGCGCCGTCATCAACGACTACCAGCCCGGCGGCTGCATCGTGTCTCACGTGGACCCCATCCACATCTTCGAGCGCCCCATCGTGTCCGTGTCCTTCTTTAGCGATTCTGCGCTGTGCTTCGGCTGCAAGTTCCAGTTCAAGCCTATTCGGGTGTCGGAACCAGTGCTTTCCCTGCCGGTGCGCAGAGGGAGCGTGACTGTGCTCAGGTAACCCACCTGGGTGGAGGGGGCGGCCCTGCGCCTGCTGCCTTAACTACCCACCCTGGCCCAGAAAGCAGCAGCCCAGTAGGAGCAAGAGAAGGGTTCTGTGTTTAAATACCTATAGCAAGAAAATAGGGCTCAGGGAACTGATGTGGAAATCCTGTGCCCGAAGGCAGGTTTGACAGGATCACTGACTTGGCTGAGAATTCATTGAACGCCATCTTTTCAAAAGGCTAAGACGTTTCCCTTTGATTTCTCAGTTTTCCTTTCTGGCCTTCCATTTCCAAATCTATACTTTTAAAAAATGTTTTTTGAATTTACTATCTAAAAGTCTTTCTTGTTCTGTCATTTTTGGTTTCCTTAACAGAAAATGTTCATGGATTCCTTAACAGAGAAAATAGTCACAGGCAAAGGCCCCAGAGATTATTTAATTGAAGCACATTCTCCATTCCCAGGAAGGGGAGTGACTTCCCTGGAGTTGGACAAATTAGTGGTTGGGCTAGGAATAGAGAGCAGCACACTCTTAGAATTCTTCCCGCTTGGCTGCAAAAGAGCCCATCAGTTCTTCGTAAGAACGTGTTACCTGTAGTCAGGACTGAATACAACAGAATACAGCTGGTCTCTTGACTGTGTGTTTGGCCTTATAGTTGCATGAGCAACAGAACTTAGGCTTTTGGCCTATATTTGGTCCCACATCCTACTGAGAATTAGCTCAGTGCCCTGGCCCCCAGAGGAGGTTGCCAGTGGGAACACCTCTACTGTTTATGTGAAGTGAAAACTTACTTGGAAGCTGCATTCTCCAGTCCTGAAAAAGGTAAACCTAGTAATATAATTCAGTAATCCCCAAAACCTCTTAGGTCTAGCCTGCAGCTGTTTTCAGAGCAGCTTGGTTGACCACCACCAAATACAGGGTGAGGGCCCAATGGGCTTTTGTCGTGAGCAGCTCAGGTTCTGAAGTGAGTCAGCAGGGCCAAAGTCATGAGGAGCAGCAGGATCCCTGGAACCTTCTTCATATCATAAGGGCAGGCCATCTATCTCATTTGAGTCGAGCAGCTGAGGCTGCTTCCATGTTGGGGATGGCAGCAGAGCCTTGTGCTAAGACCTCCTGTCAGTAGTAGCAGAAGCGATACTTTGGCTCCTTAGGCATCTGAAACCTGGAGGACAACCTACCTGTCAGATGCCTTCTTATCATGGGCTTCTGAGCTTCTCAGATCTGTGTGGCATTCCCAGATGGATGTCTTGGCAGAATGCTTTAAGATTTTAAGGGATTTCCAGGACACACCCTCCCACAGTGCTCAATGTGTAAGGCAGGTTGGGGTCTGACTCCATTGAAGGGATGTCAGTGCTAAAACGACCTCATACAAGGACCATTTGGTCTTTTAGTGGGATATTTTCTGTGTGGTCATTGGCCCTCAGGGTAGTTGTCAGGAGGGTCTAGTAGTGGTCTGGTACTTAATAAGATCACAAGGCATTTTTGGTTTTGGGACTCTTCCTCTTCTTAACACATGCACACCCTGGATTGAAGAAGAGAAGTTTTGAGTTCTTAGCATGCAGGTCTGTTAGTGATCAGTAACAGGATTGCATCATCAAGAAAAGAATTTTCCTCAGAATAGTCCTAAAGCTTTCTCAGTCCTTGTCAACCCCTTCTGGATTCAGACTTGGCTGTGGAGTTAGTGTGGGAGGCTCAGCCATGTCCTGAAAAGTGCTGCCCCAGGCTTTGAATCCAGCTTTTCTGTCTTTTGCTTTAGGATCTTGTAGGCGTTCTCTGAGCTGGCTTTCCCATCTGTAAGTGGGGACGATGCCAATTTCAGAAGCCTATTAGAATGAAATATGGTTATTTGTTGTCTAAGATAGGGCCTGGCACAGGGTAGGTACTTAAATGGGTGATTGCTTTCATATACAACCACTCAGTGATCCCCTGCTCTCTCATTGGGGAAGGAAGTAGGGATTTGGTGGAGCCTGAAACATGGTTATTTCCCTTCATGGAGTTCAAGCCCTGTGGAGGCTTCAGGCAGGTGGGTAAGTTATGGCCCGGGAAGGTAACTACAGAAGCACACTGAAGTGGGGGGACGTCTTTCCCACTTTGGAGTGATGGAAGTTTTGGGGAGGAAGTGAACTGGAATTTGAAAAGTGACTAGGAATGAGCCAGGTGGAGAAAGTATACAACAGCAGCGTCTTTGGCTGCAGTAACAGGAGTGACCGTAGGTAAGAGTGGCTGGATGTTGATGGGAGGCAGATGGAGTTCATTAATAGAGATTGTGGTTGAGGATGCTCTGGTGAACTCTAGATCAGGGCTTCTCAACAGTGCTATTGTTATTTGGGACTTGATAATTCTTTATTGTGTGGGGCTGTTCAGGCATTGTAGACTGTAGCCGCATTCCTGGCCTCTATCTCCTAGGTGCCAATAGTGGTTTTTATGACAACCAGAAAGTCTCCAGACACTGCCAAATGCTGGGGCAGGGGAAGTGCAGAATCATCCTTAGTTGAGAGTCACTGCTCTAGAGTCTGGACCCTTCCACTAATTAAATCTTCTCACAGCTGCTTACCTAGTTTACCTGGTTTGCAGGTGGATGAACACCTGCCTATTAGTAGTGCCCCTCATCAAATCCTGCATGTAAACTGGTAAGAAGTGATGCTTTCTCTCGTTTCCTGGTACAGATCCTAGCCCAGAGGTGATGAGCAGTAAAGCTGCAGATTGGAAGGGAGGACCAGTGAAAACAGTGGTGCCGTGAAGATAGGGAGGGATTCCAGTAGTAAGCATCTTAGCCAGACTTCAATTGGTGGTGGTGGCAATGGTGTCTGTACCCGTCCAAGACAACATGGTAGGAATAAAATTTTATATTTAATAGTAATCAGCATGGATGTCGGTGCGTTGCAAACATTGACTCAGCAGTGTCTAAACCTGGGCATTTAGAGCAAGGCGTCATGGAATCTTCTGGAAGTGTTGCAAATTCCTTTCCAAACCTAGTGGGCAGTTGTTTCTGTAACCTTCCCATGTTAGGCCTGGGTGGGTCCCCTCTTAATGCTGTCATCTAGGGAAATATTTTTTTACCTTCATATCACTTTATCTGTCATTCCTTCTCCTGTTCTCTGTTGGCTGAATGGGGCAGATTAAAACAGAGTCCGATTGGATTAATTAGAATAATTACCTCAAGGCTAATTGCTTGCTTGCCGACTTCTTTAATCATTGCTACATGGTCTGTGGTGTGGTGGCCACAGGCCCAGAGACCCAGGCCTAGGCCAGCCGTCTGGAAATGACTGTGTATCACCCAGCCACAGGGCATGCACTGGTGAGCTCAGCCTGTGACTTTTCCAGTTAACAGTTGGTATTGGATGGAGTGGGCACCCTTGTCAGTTCTGGGATAAAGGCTGATCTTGTTCAGCTGGTTGAAAGCAAAATTTAGCTTTCTGGCTTAAAATAGTTGAGAAAGTAGGGCAGATAGGTCCTAGGCCACATCTCTCGTGTGGACTCTCTCTGATTCCACTGGAGGGGGAGGAACCACAGGATGAAGTCAGGGCTGTGCACCGTCAGGAGGAGCTCTGGACCTGGGGGTTGGCTGCCCTACCAAATCCTGACAAGAAGGCAGGGGGCAGCGAAAGAAAGGAAGCTAGCAGTGAACCATGGTCTCAATCAT